AAAAATTGGACGACAGGTCCATTCCAAGTAGCTGGAGACAGTCGGCTATCGGTATGGATAGGTATATCACAAAAAGTCGGAGTCAGCTCAAAGGGACTCCGTTTTGTGGAGAATAAACACGCGTTTTGGTAACATTAAATTTGGCATCGCCCCAATCGGAGACTGCTTTGAGTGTCAAATCCAAACGGCTAACTATGGACTCTCGACAAGACTGGATTTCCTCTCCACTGAGAGACTTTGCATTGGTCAAGAAGTTGAAGAGAGTTGCAGACAGTACGGAACCCTGAGAAATCTATCGCCATATGTTCGGAACCAAGCCTTCTAAGACCACTCGAATCGAACGTTCGCTCAAGAAATCCGAGATCCAATTGCAAAGGTCAGTGGGAAGCTTATAAGAGGGAAGCTTACTTAAAAGGTTTGCATGTCAGACCCTCTCAAAGAATTTAGAAATATCCAAAGACAGCAAGTGCTTCGCCTTGCTTTTCTATAGCCTCGCTCCATATGTGATAGGCATACACAAGAAATCACCAGTAGATCGCCCTCGTCGCAATCCGTATACTGGCGATCACTGAGGAGGTCGTTGTCTTCAAGGTACGATAGGAGACGGTTTAGGAGACGGTTGTTGAGTACACGTTCCATAGTCTTGCAGAGTATGGAAGTGACTGAGATAGGTCTATAGTTGACAGAGTCAGCTCTGCTTCCCTTTTCCGGCACAGGTTGCACGTTTGCAAACTTCCACGAATTGAAAACTACACCAGTCTCAAGTGAGACGCGGTACAGGCGTACGCGTGTGAGAACTATTAAAAAAAAATTGTTAAAATAATAATAGTATCATAAAATTGTAAAAAATAATAAAATAGTGTAAATCATTGTAAAAAAAATCAAATAAAATATTGCGTCAGAATTTAAGTAATAATTTCGCCCACGTTGTCCTCTCCACACTACGGAGGTTTTGTTTTCGCCTTGTTGGCCTGCACTACTGCTTTCATAATCGCCACACAGAAGTTGGCAAATTTCGGTCCTGAACGCTTCCCTGTCAGGGAATCATATCGAGCCATACCTCGAATTCGAGCTTCAACCAGTTGGCATCGAATACATGGCCTTCGTTCAGGACATTCGAGCGTCTGTGCGGCCTCTGGGGAGCACATGCATCTAGGGTCATCGCAGCATCTGAACCGATGGAGGTGCGCGACGTTTCTGCCGTAACCAGTCTACGCCTGAGTCAGCCAGTAGGATACGCCAATTTTCCCGATAACTCGGTACGCCTGGCGTATTTCAGTTCGCGACTCTATCCGGCAACGCCTCCGTCACCAGGGTTACATCGATAATGCTCGTGAAACATCTGCCACCGCGGAACACTTCGAAAGTAGAGACGGCATCTTGGTTCGCGACGTGCAGCCCCGACAACGACAGAAACTCCAAGAGATCGCGGCCTCTGTTGTCATCCTTCGAGCTATCCCACCAAGCGCTCTTGGCATTGAAGTCCCCACCGATAATGGTTCTAACGGCGGAGACTGTCGCCTCACCGAGCACATCGAGGTAGGACGCCAACGGCTCAGAGCCTTCGAAGTATACCGATGCGACAGTCGGCTGTTCTCCCATGGAACGAGCCACTCTCACTACCACCATGTTTTCAGTGACGCATTTTTGGTCGACCTGGACCACGATATCATCGCTGATAATAACAACCACCGCTTTGACCACCTTCGTCCTAACGCCCATCTTCTGGACGATTCGGAAGCCGTGCCGGTGAGACATTTCTCCCTTGCTAGCAACATAGGGCTCTTGCAGTAGGAGAACGTCGCACTTACGCAGCACGGCTGCTTCGAACACCTCGTCTGTGGCGTTACGGCACCTTCGCAGATTGCATTGGACGAAGGTTATACGCAGCGAGTGGTCAGTCGGCGATGATCTCGTGTCTACTCCGGTGGTTCCCGTGGAGCCTTTAGCAGTAGCTAACGGAGGCCCTGGCTATGGCTGCCCACTTGGCTCTCACAGGACACGCTTCACCGAAAGCAGTGTGATCGGCGCTCCACAGCTTTCCCTTCAAACAGTTTGCGCAGGCAGGGGCATTCGATGGGGCGGCTGCTTTTCGGGGACAATCTCGCGCGTGGTGTCCGGGTGCAGCGTAGTATGCGCATAGGGTCTCGGGCACTTCGGCTCGACATATGTCTTGAGTGTGCCCGTACCCCAGACAGCGGCCGCATTGCACCAGGGGAGACTTTTCCTCAACTCGGCAGCGCATCCACACGATGTACAACCGCCTGGCCTCGATAAAGCGTCGCCAAAGTCTGGGCGTCATCTCCAAGACTACTTAGCATTGCAAGGAGTTACTAGTTTTGATGCGGTATCGCATTTTTGCCTCCTCCTGCTGATCTAGGCCATCGTAGACCCCGGAGTTCTGCTTCCTCAGCGACTCCATTATCTCAGCGTCGGAGTCTCCCGCCATCACGTCCCTGACAGTTATCTGAGGGAGTCTCCTGGTGGCATCTTCAACCACTAAATCCCCGGCGACTATCTTTAGTCTCCCACCGAGAGCCTCAGTCTCCTTCTTTGAAGTGCAGCTGACAACTACTTTTTGGTTCCGGGCTTTGCGGAGTCGCTGCACCCCGATGCCGAGCTTGCGGGCGTCGACGCGTCCTTTCACTTGCTCCAGGATCTGCTGTGCTGTTTTCAACTTATCCCTGGGGCTGATAATAAGGGTGTGGGAGGTCGTGGGCTCGGTGAGGCTGAGATTTCGGCGGGCGACCTCGACAATTGTCGGTGCTCTCGCCTCTTCCACAGTTTTGTGATGGCGGTCAACTTTTTCGGTGAGGTCGGATAAGGGCCCGTTATGTCTATTTATGTGGTCTCCCTGTGATAGTGTCGGAGACGGCACTCCTGCGCTGGTTTTGAATGCCGTGACAACCTCACTGGCGACCGCCTTTGGTAGCTTGCTGATTTTATCAGCAGCTGTGGAGGAGGCCACAGTCAGGGACCTCGAATGCTATCATCTTCATCACTGCATCGATATCCTTGAAGATGCAGTGGTTCTGTGCTACGAGGTCTCCTAGCACCGACAGCCTGACGTTGAGGGCTGCTGAGTGCAACTTCTCCAAGTGGGCCACTTCTTTTGCTCGATCTGCCCTCAACCGTTCCACGGCACACTCATGACGTGATCGCGAGTCTGCTGGACGCAAGATCATGTCGTAAAATTTTTGCAGACTCGCGACTACGACGTCCCTGATCTCCCGTTTGAGATCCCGGGCGCTCTCCACAGCTTTTTTAGCTGTGCCATGGAGGTGGTTAGCTCGCGCTGGAATCTCGCGGACAGGAACTTTGTCCGCGAAACTAGCGAGGCTCTTCTGTGCCTCCTCCAGAGCCTCTTCCTCACCAGGTCAGTCTGAGAAAACAGGCGACTTGATCGACCCCGCTACGCTCGACTCCACCGATTGTGGAGTAGATTGAGTCGGAGTGGTGACACCTCTGGCGACATTGAGGATTGCCAATTCTCACAGCGACTTCGGAGTCGGAGAAGCCGGCGAGTTTGGCAGGGAGAGGCTCTTTCGTTCAGAGACTATTTTGTTTGGCGAGGGTCAAGGGAGAGTCGGTGTGGATGCCTTCTTTTTCTTTTGGACCCCGCTTGGCTGTTTTAGCTATTTTCGGAAGGCCGAACATATTGCTGAAGCCACGTAGTAAATAAAATACGGGTGGATGGGTGGGGAAATTTTTGCCCGGTATTGCCGGAGGGGGGCGTGCGAGGTGTCGTTGGAGAGGGCTCTCGGAGAGCTATCCAACGGTGTATAGAACGAAGAGGATGCGGTACTAAAAGTTTTGAAAAATATAAAAAAATCGATTCTTTAGTATGAAAATTTTAACTTTTTGAAGAATTAAATCACTGTATTTTTCTGAGTTTTCGATCTTTGTATTAATGATTACAACAAACTAGTGGAGTAATTTCACAAAAAATAATTGAACATCAATTCAATAAAAATTTAACATACAGTGAATAGCGACATCTCTCGCCAGGACAAGTAGCTGTAAAGGTACTAACTGGGTGATAAATCTTTCATAGATTTCTCATAGATGGCGCTACGACTAAAAAGTCGTTGAAAAACCAAATACAAAGACACGACGCAAGCACATAGAAAAATTCGTTGGGTTCGTTGGTTCGTTCCGTGGCTTAGTTGGTATAGCGTCTGACACGGTATGCAAGAAGACGTCGGTTCGAATCCGACCAGATCGAAGAAATTTTTTTTGAGTGTTCGATCTTTGTATTAATGATTACAACAAACTAGTGGAGTAATTTCACAAAAAAGTGAACTAAGTCAGGACTTGAGTATGATTTAAAGCACTAGAAATCATACTCAAGTCCTTGCCATTAGTGTCATATTTTCAGTGCTTGAAATCATACTCATGTCCTGACTTGAGCAATGAGTAGAGTTCTGTAATACAACCCTAAGTGAACTAAAGGTTATTTACTATTATGCAGCTTCTGCTCCTCTGCTTTCTGCTTCTACTTAGACGACAAAAATCTGTGGTAGTGACCCGTTTTGCTCCTGCAGGTATTCTAAATCTTAGGTGTACGAAACAAATATTGTAAATTATAAATTTATGAATCAGGATGGCGGACACAGTGGTAGTGCCCCTAAGATCTTTGAAAACTCTGAGTGGCACTGCAACTGTTATTAGGAGACGTGTTGCTTACCACCAAGCGCATGACTTGTTCTTCCCGCCAATTAGGAATAAAAATAGAAAACGCCTGCACGTCGAAGAAGGTTCACAAGCCTCGTAAACGTGTGAAGTCACCAACCCTCGCTTGAGAGGAAACCCGTGCCCAGTAGTGGGCCATATAATCGGTTGGTGATGATTATATTTTAATATATATGTCTACAGCTGAAAATGCAGTTCTTTTGAAGATAATTTGAAGCATTGCAACATACAGCCTAGTATTATAAGAAATCAAATAACAAATTTCCATACAAATTCCAAAAACCTTACCTATGTTTTCTTTGTTGCAGTTTACCTCAAGGCTACAAGCATGGAGCGTGAACTATGTAAACCTCAATTGTTTTATATTTTTGCATTCACATTTATATCCTTACTTCATAAAGTATTATACATATTAAAAACATTCGATATTTTTCGATTAAATTACTTTTATATTTAAAGGACGTGGGCTTCAAGTAGCTATATGTGTATATTCGAAATCTAATTAACTTTATTAATTGCAGTATGCATATTAAGCAATCCCCACACGAAACAGACAAAAAGACTATTATTATTTGTTGAATCTGCTCTCCAACAGCGCCGCCCAGACATGTAAGCTATATACATATTTAGGGTACGGTGGAACTGGCATATACATTGCATAAAAGTTCGTAAATAAATTTAAAAAAAATTAAACCGTACCCTAATATACTTAACTCCCTAATGACTGTTTGATTCTGAGTAGATCAGTTTGAAGAAAGATGTTAAACAAACTTAAGTTTTGATCCGCGAGTCGTATAATTCAATTTGATACTAACTTCCTCATTGCATCATTAGTAAATGACATTTTAAGAAACGTTTTAAGCGAATTTGATTTTTAATTACGTTACATACGAAAAGCTGGAATTTCTTTACACTTCCCGCTGCTGGAATAAAGTAAACCGGGCGTTTACGTGATCAGAGGAATAATATTGTCTAGATCTGAATCACTTCAGATATTATGTAGCAGTAGAGCGCCTTGTTAAAGTTCGTCCACGGAAGTATTGCCACCTTGCCCATTTCTGCTGCCAAGCAGTAGGTATTATCAGTATTGCTGTGTTTCGGTTTTGAGGGGTCAGGGTGCTGGTGTTTCAAAAAAATACAGTTACATGGGACTTGTCAACTTATGTCTCAGGGTGACGGACGCAATGGCAGAACCCCTCAGTTCTTTGTGATTTAAACCTCTGCGTGGCACTGCAACTGTTATGGACAGACATGTAGCTCAGGAGCACAGCTAGTTCGTCCCGTCACTTGACATTATATTAAAAAAATATATTTTTCTGTTGAATTCGTAAGACGGCGGATCTTAGAACGAGAATGTAGATGGGTCGGGTATCTTAGGACGTCGACTGTACGTACTCCTTTCCAATTGTCTTTCAGTACTTTAATTGCGACTAAACATATTTCGCACCCTTGGTATAATAAAAACACATGTGATTATACGTCAAAAGTGTTTTATCGGACGAAATTGACGAAAATAATACACACCACACGCAACAAATCATATTGTATAATATGAAATTTCATAACGCTTCTATTTAAGCATAAACACGCAAAATAGGCGTTGACTTGACGTCGAGTTGCGGACACCAGCCCGTTACACCAAGTACCAAGTATTTAAGCATAAGAAAGTTATGGACTAACGTCGTTCTTAGACTAGCTCTGCGGGGCACTGCTACTGTTATGGACAGGCATGTAGCTTACCATCAGACGCACGACTTGTGCATCCCGTCACTTGATATTATAAAAAAATATATCTGCCGTCCGCAAATAAACGTTTTAAATAGCAAAAAATAGAGCACAAAATTCTCTTATAAAAACAGTTAAAATTAGTCACGTGTTCGACTTATCGAAACTTACCCTAACGATGCATAGCTGAAATATCATTAAACAACTTCAATATTCTGAAAACGGTTATGGTTTTTATGATACCTCAAAAAATTATTTAGTCCCTTAGCCGCCTTTTGGTTAGTGGATGGTAGATATTCTGTGCTATCACTTTCCATCACATCAATTAGAAAATGTTTTCCGATTTCAAAACCCCAACTACACTTTAATCTTCTTACTGAACCACTTCCAGGAAAATCAGACAAGACCCTGAATGGAAGTCGGTAACGTAACAGTAGCCTGATGTCAAGGATTTTATTTGTCTAACCGATCGGTCGTGACGTGCTTCCATGGATACGTTATCAAATAAACTTTAATCGTAATGGTGAATGCAGTAAGTTATCTAATAGGTTTTGAAACATTATAAATCTTTTTATCGATATATACAGGGCTCTACATCTGCTGGTTGAGTTTCTTGGAGCGTAGACTCTAAGACAAAGTGCGTATTAGAAGAAATATTACACTACGTAATATCTTACATAATTATGGTATGCAAAACAAATAGTAACATCATTAATAAAAATGGAATTAATTATATAGATTTTAAGACTTTCGTGGTTATTCACGAACGCACGCTCCCAACAACAACCGTTCCGAAATATCGGGAAAATAAAAAGAAGTCATACCGTGGTAAGAAACCTGATATTAGTGAAAATCATTTAGTGGAATTTATTACTCCGCGAATCCAATGAAGGTTAGGAGCGATGCCACACGACGCGTTGCGTTGTGACGCCTGAGCGGTGACGCTGCGTTATACTATAGGTATATAAATTAGAACTACATGCTTGTACACTTTGGACATTTGGAGGCACAAGCCACTTGAGAACCGGATGAAGTCAGTGACAACGGTCTGTGACAACCTTGCATATTGGCTGATCCGAGGTCAGAACTTGAAGTTAGGTTAGGTTAGGTTAGAGGTGCCAAGTTTGTCACACGGGAATCAGGAGCGAGAGTGGACGTGTATTGCTGTACGTATGGATGTGATCGAGCCAGTGTTTACGACGTCGAGAGGACCACAAAAGAGGGTCCTACAACTATAATCAAAACTGATGTAGGAAGGAAGTGGATGTTAGGTTGCGACACAGTGTGACACTCTGTGCGTTGAAATCGTAGTGTCGCGGCGACGCAACGGCAGGCAACGCCTTTGTGGCATCACTCTAAAATACCTGCGCTACTGTTGAGTGTCTTTTCATGGTGTTAATTTCCACCCTCGCTCAGAAATAATAAAATAATTATAACCTTTTTTTTTAATATTCAATATGCCTTTCACAAACAAATTTCCACAATGGCATACAAAGTGTTACATAGTTAAAAAATCATGGACCCCTTCAGATATAACAAAGTAAAAGGGAAGACAGTAAGCGTCCAGACACACGAGGAGAAAGTTTTCGCGCGATTGCCGAACGGCGACCGCCCAGGTACCATGCCTTCATGTACATTAATGGCGAATCTGAATTCTATTTACTAGGTAACAACATTTAAATTCCTCTGAATAATACAACCGCGCGACCGCCACGCGGACGAAGAGCGGACTCCGCTCGGCGTAGACAAAAGACAAGCTAGTGCTTTCCAGCTCTCCCCGCGTGCTAGGTTCAGTCAGTCAATATAAAAAAAACTAGGCTGCACGGCCTAAAAATCTTTGCCTTTCCGCAAGGAAAGTACATAACATAATATACAATTACAACTTTTTTAATTTTAATTGAATTTCGCATAATAGATACGGATTCCAAGACAGAGTTTGAGTAACTGAATGCACCTGAAGTCGGCTAGCAGTAATGGCCTGAAGTTGATATTTTTTTGCTCATTTAGATTAAAACGTAAAACGTAACGTAAAAGCTAAATAAATAGAGCGTATTTTGCCATGACAGTTCGGTCTCTGAACACGTACACGCGGTCGCTGGACGGCGGTTGCCGCAGGCTCCGCTCTTCGACCGCGCGGCGGCATAAATGTGCTTGGTTACTGAAAACTACATTAACTACATAAGATTACATTTTTTTTGCTATGATTAATAAAAGATGCATTTACAATAGACTACTTTTATTTTCAAATTAAAATCCTTTCTAACTATTGTTAATAACATTCTTGTAACCATTACATTTGATAATAGTTTCTACAAATCAACATACCGGTTAAAATTAACCTGCCCACCGCTTGCGATGGGGCAAATAAAATTTCTTATTTGTTCGGCACAAGCAGTCTCGACAAATATAATAATATAACAAATAAGAAGACGTACAAAAGGCCCATTGAAAGGACGTAGTCAATATCTATAGGTTTTATAGAAATTCACCCATTGTGTGATCTGGCCGTTCTTGACGAAGACGACCCGTAAAGCCTATTTTTTGGTATTTGTATGTGTGTATTTAAACTAAGTGCCTATTAAATATGTAATGTTACTATCATATTGCGTTTTATTTTCTTAATACTTATATAAAAATATCGATACCTATAGATTTCAACAGAATATTTATGTCACTTCACTAATTATGCACTCTCAAGGTCACGTATTCGGCGGAGTTTGTCACACAAAGATGCTCCCTTTAAAAAAGTGCAACATTACCGTTGTATCTAGATTTATTTCTGTGGACAAGATCAATAATAACAGCGATCATAATAACCTGAAGAGTTGAAATGTACGTGATACCCTCAGCTTGTCCACTGCCAGCATTGTTTCAAGAAGCCTATCGTAGACCAGTTAAGTAAGACCTCTTTTTAGAACAGTAGAGTTCCTCGTGAAAGAGTTCGTCCAGGGTAGTACTGCCACCTTATCTATTTCTGCCAACAAGCAGATTTGTATTTGTTTGAATATTTTAATACCAGTCTGTTCATATTAGAGGCTTACCATTATATATAAATCGGTTGAATGACCCCACGATACAGGCTTGCCTAGTGTGGGGACCGCGGTAATCATAAAATTGTAACTATCAATCTGCCAGATACGTTTTATTAATGTTTTATTTTTTTAAAGAGCTTTCATCAATATTTATAAAAACTGCCTCTTTGGCCAAACGGTTACCACACTGGTCTGTCACACAGAGGTCTCGGGTTTGATTCCCGAACCAGGAGAAAAATTTATATAGCCTACAATTATTTCTCTTGAGAGTTTGGGTGTAATTGTAGTCATCTATGTGTATGTCCATGGCACCTACAATACAGGGCTTCCCTAGTGCGGGGCTATGAGTGTGTGTGTATTGTTAAAAAATCTAGAAATATGTATATTTGCGAGATTGTATAAATACCACTATGTAGTAATGTAAATAGACAGGTATCTAAATACCACTGCAATGGCCACAGAATCAAAGTTTCGAGGGTATAGCTACTCTGTTCTACGTATTTGCTGCTTGATTAATCAGAAACCAATACTGTCGAACCAGAAACACAACCTACACGACTGTTCATAACAGCTGCAGTGCCATTCAGCTCGTTAAATCGCAAAAATCTGAGGCGCACTGCCACTGCGCGTGTCAAAAGTCCCATGTGCCTGTAATTTCACCAGCACCCTTACCCTTCAAAACCGGAATACAGT